ATCACCGTTGTTGGCCATTTCAGCCGCACCAGGTAGGGGCAGGATGGCTGTTGTGTTTCAAGTCTGCCTCACAGAACCTGTGACCGAGGTCACTCTGCCCCGCAGTGGAAGTCTTCTGCTGAGCACTCTCGTGGGACACAAACAGGGATGCTTGGGCTCATTCCCGTTGGCCCATTCGTCCGCAGGTGTCTTCGCCAGGTGTCCTCCTCACCCGTCCTCCAATATCGCTTCTTTCAGGTCCTCATCCTTCTGGCTGCGTGTGCAACGACTGCCCATCAGGCCGCCTTTGCTCAGCCAGAGTAGACCGTGGCTACCCTGTTTGACGTTCTGTTGCAGGGAGCAGTTTCTGCTCTACTGTCTTTTCAGAGACCACCCTTACACTGGGTATGATGTCATCTAGTCCCCTAATGACCTGTGACGGGGGAAGGTCAGTGGGCACTAGCCATCCTCCTGTATGAAATCGTGTGTGTGTGTGTGTGTGTGTGTGTGTGTGAATCTTGTTCTCTGAGTGTAGCTCTTTCTGACCAGTACTCCCCAACACTTTTCGCATAAAGCTTAGTAAGACACTAACTTCTGTGATGTGATTTATCATCCTTTGAATTTTTTTGGTCTTATCCTCTAAGAGATTCAAATTATCTTTTTGATATAAATAGGAAGTCCCTGAGTTTCCCTGTTAGCCTGGAATCAAGAGTTTAGAGAGAGTGAGCATGTCATCCTGTGTTTCCACCCCCTTTTCAGGGTCTCCAAGACTTACTGTTTCTGTGAGCTCTTTGGTATCTTTCCAATGAATCCCTTTTCCAGTCAGAATTAGTTTCTTGTGCTTGCAACTAAGAACCTAGACAGTTAAAGACATTAATTTTAGGAGATGGATGTAGAAAACAGGACCTCAGGAACCTGTGAAAATAATAAGGAGTTGTAGATGGGTTAGAAGTAACTCAGCTTTTATAACTTAGTAATTTTCAAAATACTAATGAATTTCCAAAATGTCCCTTAAACTTCAGAGACAGTGACAGCAGATTCTCCAAATTCTCAGTGGGAACTTTATTCTAGTGAACACAGGTAATAAATACTACAGTAATTTTGAAAGTTAATGAGACCTGCTTCTTTAACTGTCTGGATTTCTGGTACAAACAAAAGAAACCACTCTGGTTGGAAAAGGAATTTATTAGAAGGATGTTGAAGGGCTCACAGAAACAGCTAAGAGTCTTGGATGCCCTGAGAGAGTCGTGGATGGGAACCAAGGCAGATCTGGGGAGGCAGGAGCGAGAAGCCCAGCCGTTATCTTTTTATCAAGATTAGTTTGTCCATGATGCCAACAAGCCTGACCACTGCCCTTTAAGGACAGCATTGCCCCCAGACACTGCTTTGCCACTGCTGTCACTAGAAACCAGTCCAGTAGCCATGAGTGAATCCTAAGCTCCTCTTTGTCTTTGTGGATTCTCTTGACATTCAGAGTGTTGCATTGCATCAGCGTCCAGATCATACCCAGAGTGCCAGCCACTGGTTTTCACAGAACGAGAGGGGTCTTCTTTAAAGAGAGTCTGGGCATATGGGGGAGGCTGGCTGCTTCCAGAGTGGGATTGGCTGACCTTTGGCCCGCTTGCATGCGATGTGGAAGTCACCCTTTCCGATCCGGATGCCTTTTTTTTCTTCTTCTTGCGCACTGGCATTCACTGGGACCTCGAATACCATGGTTAGTAGCGCTGGTGAGAGTGAGCGGCCTTGTCTTTTTCCTAATCCAGTGGAACACTAATGTGTCTTTTCCCACTGAGTTTGACACTAGCTTTAAGATTTTTATAGGGGCTTTTAATCAAGTTGAGGATGTTCTTCATCAATCATTTGCTGATGGCTTTAATCATGAATGGACTCTGAATTTGTCAAATGCCTTTTCTGCGTCTATTGAGAGAATTGTAGTGTTTTTCTCATTGTTGGCTAATATGATGAATTATATTGATTGACCTTTAATGTTGGACAAAGCTCAAACTGCTTGCTCATGATGTATTATCCTTTTTATGTATTGCTAAATTCTTTTTGCTAATATTTTATAAGAATTTTAAGTCTATGGGTCTTAAAATTTAAAACCTTATTAGTGAAGGATATTGATCTCATTAATTCTTTGTCTGATTTTTTGTATCAAGGTAATGCTGGCTTCAAGAAACTAGTTGGAAAGTATTTTGTCCTATTCTATATTGGAAAGTTTGTGTAGAATTGGTATTAATTTTTTCTTAAATACTTGGTAGCACTCATCAGTGAAGCCATCTGGAGTTTTCTTTGTGAGAAGGTTTTAAACTGTGAATTCAGTTTCTTTAGTAGACTGCGGGATATTTAGATAATGGTATCTTTCAAGTTTAGCCATTTCATCCAAGATGTTGAATTTATTGGTTTAAAATCATTCATAATTGCTTTCCTATCCTTTTAATGCTTGTAGGATCTATAATGATGTTCCCCCTCTTATTCCTGATATTGGTAATTTGTATCTTTCCTTACTTTTTCTCTTTTTTTTTATCCTCACCTGAGGACATGTTTGTTGATTTTAGGGAAACAGAGGAGGGCAGGGAGAGAGAGAGGGGAAGAAACATCAGTGTGAGAGAGAAACTTATGACTGGTTGCCTCTTGCACATGCCCAGATTGGGAACCAAATTGGCAACTTAAGTATGTGCCCTGGACGGGAATCGAACCCCATGATTTTTGGTTTATGAGACAATGCTCCAACCACCTGAGCCACTTGGCCAGGGACCTTATTTTTCTTGATCATCCTCACCAGAAATTTATCTATTTTATTCTCTTTTCAAAGAATAAGTTTTTTATTTTATTGGGTGTTTTTTTTTATCATTGTTTGTTCATTTTCTATTCATTGATTCGTGTCTCTTTCTTGTTTCCTAAGTTCCTGCTTACCTTTGTATCTATTGGGCTGGCGAAAAAGTTGGTTAATGTTTTTTCTGTAAAATAAAAGACATTTTTCATTTTCACCAATAACTTTATTGATTTGGATATTTTGAGTATGTTGGCTATCTCCCACTATTGGCTTCTATTGGGTAGAGGCCAAGGGTGCTGCTAAACATCTTCCAGTGCATGAGACAGCTCCACAGCAAAGAACTATTTGGCCACAATGTCAGTAGTGCCAAGAAACTTCACATGCCACTTTTGACATGTTCAACCAGTTACATGCCTTCTCCATACACTGCACAAATCTATTTTTGCATTTCAGTTACATTTTTACCTTTCTTGAAATAATAAAGCATATTATACTGAAAATGTTGTATATCTTATTCCATCGATATTAAAATGCACAAAAATGCACCAATTTTGAAAAGTTTTTAAAAAGTGCATGCTTATAAGACAGCTGTCAGGATGCAATCTAACAAAATTGTTTCGAATGAAGTTAAAGACAGCTGCATGCTGCTAGAACCATTGTATATAAAAAATGTAACGGCAGTTTTGGCCAACCCAATAGTTTACTTTTCTCTTTCATGTTTTTAAGGTAGAAGCTTAGACCAATGATTTGACACATTTCTTCTTTTTCTAATATGAGCATTTAATGCTGTAAATTTCCCTGAAAACACTGCTTTAGCCATTTCTCGCAAATATTGATGTTATATTTTATTCAGGTCCAATTCTCTTTTTATTTCTTTAACCCATGGGGTTTTGTTGTTGTTTGTTGTTGTTTTTGATTTCCAAATATTGGCGGATTTTCCAGACAGCTTTCTGTGATTTTTTTAACCTTGTATCTGTTCTGTCTCTGGCTTTTTGATGTGTTTCCCAGGAGATCACTATCTAGGTTTGAGGAGAAGCCACTGGTCCGAGCCCACGTCGTAGGCGAGGGGCCACAGGCTGCTGGAGCCTGTGCCGCTGGGCAGGTGTACGTATGTGTCGGCCGTGGGCTTGGCTTGTGTGTGAGAAATGGGGCCAGCCCTGCTGCCACTGCGGCCATGCTCCGGTAGCAAGGCTAGACATGGGAACTTGTTAAAGGTCTGCATCCAAGGCAACCACACCCCTCACCCCCTCCACCGCTAGGCACCTAAAAGCTTTGGCGACCAGACATCCATCCTTACCGAGGAAAGCAGAATCTTCTTCAAAGAAACTGAGTGACCCCAGAGAAGGCCCTGACAGCAGATCTAAACTCCTTGCTGGAAGAACTGAGGGCGGGTTCCTGGATCGCCCTGGTGGACCTGCAGACAGGAGGAGGTGGCCAACTTAGGTCTCCCCAAAACCCTCTACAAAAGCATCCACTTCATTTATCACGTGTCTTGTTGGCCGTCTGTGTCCAACATGCAACTTTAGACTTGCAGTCTGATTGTGGCAGGCCAGCGTTGATGAGAGTGGAGCTGTCAGTTTTGACGTGTGTATAGATGGTTCCTCATAGAGTGGGATCTGCTCCCTGGAAGGTGGAACCTGCTGGTGATGTTAGAGGTATCCCCTTAAATGCTGTCTTACGTTTAATGGACCAGCACCCTAAACTGTGAATAGAATTTTGCCAGGAGACTGGAACAGATGATTTTCATCTCAGCACATTTTTGTATTTTCTAACTTCTCTACAGTAAACATATATTACTTTTGTGTTCAGATAAAATATTTTAAAATATTAAGGTAAAAATCTGTAGAATTATGAAATGAAAACATCGAATCTCATCTAGTGAGCATGACCTAAGGTATAGGCACTATAAAGTAATGATGTAACAGCAAATTGGGTCAATCAGAATTGTCTCTAAATGTGTTTGCAAGAGAAAAAAATGACAAAAGCTTTTAACAACGTCGATTTGACTTCCCCGTGGAAAACTATTGCAGAAGCCCTAAAGAAAGGTGTCTGGCCCGGCTCCCCAGGTCAGAGTTCCTGAAGAAAGGTCAATTCCACCGTAGCGTGGATTTAACAGGACAACAGTGTCATTGTCTCTTCCACTGGGCCCCCGGTCCCTGGTGGTGGTGCTCCTGCAGGGTCAAGGGCGAGAGGTCGTCTTCCACTGACTCGCTGACACACTTGTCTCCCTCTGTCCTGCCCGCAGGCAGCTGGCGAAGAGTCTGGGGCAGGCCGGGGAAATCGAGCCTGAAACGGAAGGAATACTGACAGAGTATGGTGTGGATTTCTCTGATTTCTCTTCGGAAGTTCTAGAATGTCTCCCTCAAGACTTGCCCTGGACAATACCACCAGAGGAATTCAGCAAGAGAAGAGATTTAAGGTAAATATGTGAAGGTCTTTAAAAACATGCTTATACCTTTCTGCCTTCTACCTTAACTTTCCTGGGAGCTGGGCTCAGATGTCTCCATTTTTCCATCAACATTCACATTCAGTTCAGTTGAGAATTAAGTGCTTTGTACCAAAGGTTGTGAAATCACAGCCCACCAGCTAAATCCAGTACAGCCGATGAGCTAAGAATTATGTTATATTTTTAAGTGGTTGGAAAAAATTAAAACAAGAGTAATCTTCAAGGAAAACGATGTGAAATTTAAACTTCAGCTTCCATCAAGTTGCATTGGAACACAGCCATGCTTTATTCAGTTATATGTTATTGTCCGTGGGTATGTTTTCACGCTAGAACAGCGGAGCTGAATTGTTGCAGCGAAGACCTGTGGCCTGCGAAGCCTAAGATGTTTGCTCTCTGGCCCTTTGTAGGAAAAGTGTGCTGACCCTGCTCGAGGCCATCCTGGTTTCGAAAGGCACGGCTGCCACCCTCCTTTCCCATCCTCCGCCCTGGAGGTCTGCTCCAACACAGACAGTGTTATCTGGTTAGGAGCGCCCGCCTTGAAGCGGGCCCCTTCAGGCACGGAGCGGAGGATTCAAGCCTCTGTGCTTGGAGCTTCATTTTAAAGCTTTACTTTTAGGTCTGGAATTTGTTGGAAAGTACTCTTGTGGTATTTTTATAACAACATCTTCTTTGAAGATGTTTCTTCATTGTGGGATGTTAGTTCTTTTCTGATATTTCTCTTTAGAATTTGGTTTCAGTGCTGGCATTCATTTTGGATGCCACATGGAGATATTTAGAACCAAGAAACTTTTCACACAACCCACTGAGGCTGTGGCAGGTTTCCTGCTAAGGTCATCCCGTGTCAGAGCCTTTTCCACCGCACTTGCTCGCTCCGTGCGGCTGAACTCACGGTACCTTTGGCTCTTCCTCCACCGAGTTCGAGTGTCCTCCTCCCGCGCTCCCTGTTGCTGCTGCATCTTTTAGGAATTTGCTGCCTTTTGTCCTTTGCTTGCTGAGGGTAAGCAAGGCAAAGGAGATGACACTCCAGCTCCCTTTCCTGCTTGCTGGTGGGTCTGGCGGAGCGCATTACCTCTGAGGCCCATGAACTGAAGCTGTGCTCCTGGCTCCCGGCAGTGGCGACCGTTCCTGGAACTCCCGCGGGCCTGTTCTCTCACCCGAGTAGCTCTGAGAGCTTGGGCCTATAGCCTCACCCTCCACAGACCTTTGTTTTCTCAGATACGAATTGACGGGATTCTTTTCTGAGATCTTTTCATAAATCTAGGAATTTATAAAAAATTTAATGAGAAAAGGTCAGAATGAATGGCTGGACTTTTATTGTTTGAAATGTGTTAGTATAGCCATTCTGCAGTTGCTGTCAACATTTTAAATGGACCTGCCCTTTCACCCCAGTACTCCACTTCCAGGAACCATCCTACTCAAAGAAGCATGCAAGGATATACGTCCGTTACTGCCTTACTGTAAGGACGCTGCTGCTGATGTCTATGGATAAAGCATGGTTAAATAACCTGTGTCGTGTCAGTAAGATAGCGTTCCCGACAGCTGCAAAAAAGGAGCTTGATCTGTGTGCGCTGCCCTAAAAGGGTGGCCGTTATATGTGGCAAAGGGAAAGGAGGAGGTTTCAGAACAGTATGAATATGAGCCTATCTTTTATTCAGTCAAATAACAAGTCTGTCTAACGGTATATACACATGTGTGTACACATAAAAGTACATATGCATAAAAAATTCCTGGAAGGAAAGGAAATTTGGACCTTTCTCTATGGTTATCGACAGTGTATGAACTCAGTAGAGTACTAGACAATATTATACTTTTCTTTTGATAAATTCCTGTATTATTCAAATTATTTGAAAATAACTTATACCTTGTAACAATTTAAATGGGACTATCAGAAAAGAGAGGTGCTCTCCCCTGACTGGTGTGGCTCAGTTGGTCGGGCACCGTCCCACAGACCTGAGGGTCGCCAGTTCCTCCCCATCGGTGCGCCTGCCCGGGTTGCGGTTCCGACCCATCCCTGGTTGGGGCATGTGTGAGAGGCCTCTGTCGTTGTCTCTCACATGATGTTCCTCCCCCTGTCTTTCTCCCTCCTTTCCTCTCTCTCTAAAAAGAAATAAGTAAAATCTTTTAAAGAAAGAGAGAGAGAAGAGAGCTGCTAAATCATTTCTCGTCTGACTCCTGACCTGAAGATGAATAACACGGGGAGTAGCAGGGGCAGAGCCCACTGTGGGTCTCCGTCCCCTCTCGTGGCGGCACCTGCCTTCTTCTCTGGCCCCCGCTGCCTCCTGGGCAGGCCGCGGAGCCGGAGGCCGTGCTCTGCAGAGAGTCTGCCATCGGAACACGCGCTGTGTCCGGCGAGGGGCTCTGCAGATACAGGGGGCAGGTGGGGTGCTCTCTGCGGTTAGCTAGTTCCTAAAAGGGATTTTTTAAAATCACTTTAACCTCTCAGCACTTTCTCCCTGCCTATTATCTCTAGGATTATGTTTCTAAAATTCAAATCTGATTTTCTTTTACTCCTTTGGTCTAAAATCTTTCAACTGCTTCCTGATGCCCTAAAGTAGTAATCCCTAAAAATTGCTGAACATGCATTTCCAGTAATGTATGTTTCTTTATTTTAAAATTACAAGCATACTATTTTACTAATTTATTATGTGCATTGTAAATTTACATAAAAGTAGAAAAATGAAATAATTTTTAAACATTTTCATTTTACTTAAAAAGGTATAGAAAACTTCATATTATTTTATTTTCAATTAAAGTAATGTGATTGAATATTTATTTTTTATAATTTTGCCTTAATAACTTATGATTCAGAAATGAAAACCTCTGATTATAAATTCTGTAAATTTGATACTTAGTTTTGCTTTTAGTGTTATCATAACTGAAAAAGGTATCTGAACTTACTAAGTCATACACTCATTCTTCATCCTACTCATTGATTATATTCAGATTCATTTTGCAGTCCAGCTAATTTCCATCTTTCATGTCAGTTCTTGTAGAGTAATTGACAGGTGCTGCATTGTTAGATTTTTTAAAAAATGGGTTTGTAATCCTTAGTTATTCTTCACTTGGCATCTTTAAACACTAGTTAGAAAATTCTGTTAGAGTTGTGTAAGTGTGTGGATACAAGTAGTTTTAAAGTTTATACACTTAGATCATTTTAGGCTCCCAAACTGTGTAACAATGGAAACACTTCAAAACATTCATTTTTAAAATTTTATCTTCAACACTTGAGTTTCTTGTTCTATTTTTTAATGTCTTTTTTTAATTGTTAAAACATTACCTTTACTCTGAGGGGACAGATTGTGTTTAATTTTGTCTAAATATCTGCTCAGTAGATATGATTGATAGTCATTTGTTTTTAATCCCCACCTGAGGATATGTTTTTATTGATTTGAGAGAGGAAGGCGGGTGGGTGGGGGAGGGGAGAGATGAAGGGAGAGACAGATAGACGGACATTGATCAGTTGCTTCCCATATGTGCCCCACAAACCCACTGCCTAGGCACGTGCCCTGACCGGGATTCAAGTCCATGACCTTGTGGGATACAAAACAGCACTCCAGTCAACTGAGCCACCCGGGCAGAGCGACAGTCACTGTTTGAAATCATAAGGTGACTGATTATGAATTCGTACTAGGAGAGGAAGATATGTCCTGGGTTTGGTGGTGGTAGTGTTATTATTAGTTTAGTTTATCTGTAATCTTCGGATCTTTGCAATAATCTTTTTTAGCCACTTGCCTATGCTATAAGGATTAGTTTAGCTAAAACTAGATAATTTCTGGAAATACCCACGGGTGGCTGAAAGCGCAGGAACGAACGGGAGTGCCGGCATCACCGCCGCAGTGGGCTGGAATGCCGGCCCTCCCCTGCACAGCCCGCTCACCCCCCGACCCGCACACCTGGGAGGTGCCAGGCGTCATCCATGTGGTCGTACAGTCATGGTCAGGTTTTTAGTTTTTACAATAAACAACATAAAGAGAAGCCTATGGTCTGCTGAAGTATTGGCATTTGATCACCTTTCCCTTCTCTTTGACTGGTCTCGTGATAGATTTATTAAGTTCTTCAACTAATGAGCATGCACTGAACACCCTCCGCGGGCAGTGGGGCGTCACCGCGGAGTGCACTCGCGGTCGCGGCAGAGGAGCCGGAGCCCCATGCTGAGCAGCAGTGGGGCAGGGCTTGCCGGGGAGGAGAGAGGAGCGTGGCACAGGGGCTAGTGATACGGTGACTCCTTGTCCTCGGGCTCCGGTCAGGGCCTTCGCGGGGGTTTATGCATAGGGGCTTTCCCAGGAAGGGGTCCCAGAGCACACTATAAGCGTGTCCTGTGAGTGAATTAACACATATTCCACAAATCCCTAAACAAAACCTTCTAATTCTCTTCCCTGTCCCTCCCGTCTTCTCTCCTGTATACAGTTATTTACACAAGTTATTATACTCGTGTACGTGTATATATTATACGACAAGTATCCAGTCAGTCACTGGAAACGCAAGGACAAGTAAGGCCCGGTCTGTGTTCTTCAGCACTCTGCTGGTTCTCAGCGGGAGATTCATGCTCAGATAAATCACCGCGGAGTAGGTCGAGTGCTGTAACACCCGAGCAGACTGTCAGGGTCACTGGTACTCGAGGTGACGTGGGAGGAGTGAGCAGGTATAGAGCAGAGCGCCTGAGAGTGGCTAGAGCAGGCTTCGTCCTCACGGTGAGCTGCGGCTGCAGGGACGGTGGCTTGTTCCCCGACACGCCCGGGTCCTTTCGTGACGGGGCTCACGGCTCCTGGGGTTGCGATGGCTTCTTGACCCCTCTGCTGAGCCGCCCCGCCGCGGGCTCGCAGTGTCTCTCTGGCTCTGGCTGCGCGAGGGCTTCAACATGCCCGTTTAGGTTTGGTATTTGAACAATTATATTTGGAACAGAAAAGTTCCATCCATCTTTAAACCTCATAATCCAATTATGTCAGTAAAATTCCAGTTTTTTAGTCCAATGG